CGGGTTCGCTCACCTCTCGATCCTGTCACGGCTCTCTGCCGTGACAGAGGGAAGGCTGGATTCCCCTCTCCCCGATCCTCCAGCGCTGACTGGCGGAACGGACGGGGGAGGGTACAGCTGGCCCTGCCTCTAGATAGGCAGAGCCAGCTGTCACTCACGCAGCTGGGCGGATCCCGTCATCTACGTCGGGATCCGCTCCGGCTGCGGTGTCTCAGTATACCGCGAGCTGTAGTTCGCGGTATACTGAGCTTAGGGTGACAGGAGGACGCTAGTTTGTGTCCTCCCGTTACCCTAAGGAGAACTGTGGGGAAAAACACTGACCCCATAGTTCTCCTTTAACCCTTGCAGTGCGAGGGTAGCCCACGGCAAAGGTTAATTTTTACATGGGCAAAGCTTTTCTTAACTCTTGCCGTGGGGCTACCCCCCAGACGGAAACAAGCACTGAACCCCTGCGAGGGGCGGGGGGATAGCCCCGCTGCAAGGGTTCATTTTTTAAATAGCCAGAGTTGTTTAACTTCACGACGGCTCGCCTGCTCTCACTGCGGCCGATTTTTTCCTGACAAAGCGCATGCGCAGTACCACAAGGATCTTAACGGGTGCGCGGAGCTGATTTTGCGGCTACAGCAGCCATTATTAATCATGTGCATTTACCTTAGCCGGCCACAAGGAGCGCTGTGACGGTTTTTTTACACTCCGCAATTTTTGGACCCATAGCGTATCCGTCGCTAGGAGGCTGAACGAGCGGTTATGGTTGCTAGGGCAACGTGAGAAAACACAAAGTGCATGGTACCGGGGGAGACCGATAACTTGTAGCTGCGAGCGGCAGCGGCAGCGGCCAGATTTAGCTGTACCGGGGTGTCTTCACAGTCTTCGTTACCGGTGGGTGTCTGTGTGTGTAACTCTCGTGAGAGCTGCTCTGTGTATACATGTGTAGTGGATAGTAGGTTACCGCATCATCATCATAACACCGCTGTGTATGCTTCCATGTTCCTTTTACTCCCATCACTTTGTAGTGGAAACGACACGTTCAGGTTAACTTTAGCACTTCTGGAGTGGGTGGGCTATTGCAGAGTTACATAGGTTGAAGAAGATGCAAGTCCATGGAGTGGAACCGATAGGATGAATAAATAACTAGGAAACCTTCATTAACAAACCATATGCCCACAGATGATCCAGAGGAAGACAGATAAAGTATGGTCCAATTTGCTCCAACATTGAAACAAATATTTCCACATCCCCAAAGGCAGTTGGATGTTCCCTGGATCAACAATCTCTGGTGTTATTCCTTATAAACAATGATATCCTGGTAATTTAGAAATGCATCCAGGTTTTAAAACGTAAAACTGATCTGGCTAGAACTAGTTCCTAAGGAAGCCTGTTTCATGTATTTACAGCTCTAACTAGAAAGAAGCCTTTCCATATATGGAGATTCCACTTCTTTGCCCCTCTTAAGCTGGCCATACACCTTACAATTATCTGCAGATTTTCTGTGGTCAGATGGAAAAGGTGCAACAGATTCCTCCATCTACACTTAAAGGAGAACTATGGGGTCAGTGTTTTTCCCCATAGTTCTCCTTAGGGTAACGGGAGGACACAAACTAGCGTCCTCCCGTTACCCTAAGCTCAGTATACCGCGAGCTAGAGCTCGCGGTATACTGAGACGCCGCAGCCGGAGTGGATCCCGACGTAGATGTCTCTACTGGGTTCTTTCAGCGGGCCCCTGTTGACACTTAGGCCCCATTCACACCTATACTTTAGATGTAATTAAGGATTCCTGCGTCAGGAACTTGCGTTTTTGCTGCAGCAGGAATCCCTAATTTGCTGTTTGCAAACAGCAGCTGTCACCCGTTCAAATGAATGATAGTGGGACATTGGCACACCCCATTTAATTGTATGTGATACGATTGCATGCAGTTAGGAATCAATCACTGTCCATGAAGGCATCGATCGTGCATCTAGGGGAGAGTGATAGAAGTTAGGAATCATGTTAGGAATCAATCGCATACATGCGGTGTGTTCTATTAAGCAACTACCATATATATTGCCTGCACTGTATAAGCAGTATATACTCTATATTTACTACAGAGTACACACTGCTAATACAGTGCAGACAATACATTTACAATTATACTCTGCTAACATGAATGGATTAAATGATCTGTATGTAGCCCTGTACTAGGGATCATTTAACCCATTCATGTTAGCAGAGGATAATTGTAAATGTATTGTTGCAGGCACTCTATATGTACATGTACTATATACTACATATAGAATGCACTGAACAATAGATTTACAATTATCCTCTGCTAATATGAATGGGTTAAATGATCCGTAGTACATGATATGTAGCCCTGTACTACGGATCATTTAACCCATTCATGTTAGCAGTGCAGAATTGTATATCTATATGTACTGTACATTTACAGCACAAATGTCCCGTACATTGCAGCAATAGATTTACAATGATCCACTGCTAACATGAATGGGTTAAATGATCCTTAGTGCAACTACATGTTATGTACTATGGATCATGATTTAACCTATTCATGTTAGCAGGGGATAATTGTAACTCTATTACTGCAGTGTACTGGACGTATGTGCTGTATATGTATTATGGATCATGATTTAACCTATTCATGTTAGCAGGGCAGAATTGCGAGCGCCTCCCACAAGCTGAGCACCGAAATGCGATGCAGCGATCCTGCCTAGCGCCGACTACAAGAGGCACTGCGTGAGGCAACAGGGATCGGAGTGAAACTGTAAGTGAGGGAAGCTGGGACGGGGCTGGCTGTAAATCTATTGCTATAGTGTACTGGACGTGTACTGGACGTGTGTAATGTATATGTAGTACATATATACAGCACAATCCTCCACTACACTCCAGAAATAGAGTCACAATTCTCCACTGCTAACATGAATAGGTTAAATCATGATCCATAGTACATAACATGTAGTTGTACTATGGATCATTTAAAGTCACCTGTCCCTTTTAAGAAAAAGTATCGGTAATTGGTATCGGCAAGTACATGAGGGGATGTACTTGTACTTGGGCCTGAAAAAGTGGCATCGAGACATCCTATATATATCTATAGCGATATATATATCTATAGCGATATAGATATATATATATATATATCAGATCATAAAAGTCCAGATTGCTTTTCTGTATGATTGTACCAGATCAATGACTCAGAAAGAATTGAAACACAAGAGGTGATAATGGCATCCAGGTAAATAGTATTTTTACGAGCAGCATCCATGTTTCTTACGACAAGGTTCTCATAAAGTAGATGTAAACCCTAACGTAAAATTTAGTTTAATAAAACTGAACTCCAAGATAAGCAAATATTGTCAAAATAGAAGAGGCATGTGTATTCTTACTTGAATCTTGGGGTGCTTTGTGAATTCCTTCAAGATCTATGCAGTAATTCAGTGAGAATGTATACTTCTGTGCAGGAGCTTCCTGTAATAAGGACCAGTCACTGCTGCTCTCTCTTCTTGTGTGCCTGGTCTTGTATCCGCCCCCTCCTGTAGTTTTCTGCAGGCAGGCTGTAGTGGGTGAACATGCTGGGTCCCTCCCACAGCTCTGCTCTCTGTATAGGTTATGTGTAGCACAGTGATGATGTCACTGCTTTTTTTTTACATGAAATCCTCTTTTCTTTTAATAATATACATCTTTATCTTTTGTTGCATCTGGTTGCTGCTGCTCTCCTGCATCCTGCCTGCACACATGCACTCCAGCGATGACTACATGTCATTTCTCATGGCAGGTTTGCTTATGGCGATAACATTTAGCCATGCCTGCATAATGTGTGTTTGAAATGTCTCCATCAAAAGCCTGTTTGAAAATTGGATGACAGTTTTCTACCTATAATAGAAAGCGGCAGATTTGTAAGTTTTGCAAATTACTTTACAGGGGTGGGCAGATTCTTAGGCCCGGTTCCCACCTGGGCGTTTTTCCGCGCGTTCGTACTCGCGGAAAAACGATCAAACAGGGAAATGCCATTATTTTCAATGTGCATGGTTCCCATCTTGGCGTTTTTTCCGCGAGTACGAACGCGCGGAAAAACGCCCAGGTGGGAACCGGGCCTAATGGAGTTCAGGAGCCAGTCTGCACAATTCAGGAGCCAGCTCTCTATTGACAACTAGAGAAAGTTAGGCACCAGCTGTCATTTTTAAGGTGCATTGGCTTCCTAGGATTTGTCCAGCCCTGGTTTGAAACAACATTAACATGTTAAAGATTACATGAGATGTCTAGTGAAATGGTTTTTTATATACTTTTAAGTGCAACGTACTCGCGGAAAAACGATCAAACAGGGAAATGCCATTATTTTCAATGTGCATGGTTCCCATCTTGGCGTTTTTTCCGCGAGTACGAACGCGCGGAAAAACGCCCAGGTGGGAACCGGGCCTAATGGAGTTCAGGAGCCAGTCTGCACAATTCAGGAGCCAGCTCTCTATTGACAACTAGAGAAAGTTAGGCACCAGCTGTCATTTTTAAGGTGCATTGGCTTCCTAGGATTTGTCCAGCCCTGGTTTGAAACAACATTAACATGTTAAAGATTACATGAGATGTCTAGTGAAATGGTTTTTTATATACTTTTAAGTGCAGTTTTGCCCATTTTAGCTTGAAGCTGTCAGTCCTGCAATGAAAGAGTTGGAGGGTCAATACAAAATAACAAATGACCTGTAATTTGCATTTTTAGATGATGCATTGGCTCTCTTTTATGAAATCTGTGTTGCCGGCCGACACAAATGTGGGTCAGATATCCAGATTCCAGTTCTTAGCTGTTGCCAGGGAGTCCCATACTGTTTCTATTTGAGACCCTTTTATAAATGAGGCATAGTTATTATTATTCTGGTAACAGAAGCACCCGTGGCATTATCTGTGATTGTATACATAGAGACCATGCATCTAATGATAAGTAACTGTATTTTGCAGAGACAATGCCCTAAATTACAAGTGGGGAGTCAACGTTGATCGAACGATTCACATCATCATGGAGGAGATTCCAGTAAAAGTGGCGCTGAGGATTCGGCCTCTGCTGTCAAAAGAGATTCTTCACAACCACCAAGTGTGCGTGAGGGTTGTTCCTAATACACAGCAGATCATAATTGGGAAAGATCGCAACTTTACATTTGATTATGTCTTTGGAAAAGCTTCATCTCAGGACGATGTTTACGGCGCCTGCATCAAACCCCTCTTAGTGTCATTGATTGAAGGATACAATGCAACAGTGTTTGCTTATGGACAGACTGGCTCTGGCAAGACATACACAATTGGAGGCGGCCACGTTGGTATGTTATAGAAGTGTGCAAGATAATATTTTCATTTTACCAATGTATTTTGTCACACAGAATCAAGATGTGTGACAAACGTCAAAGGGTTTGTAAACACGGCATCTGTTTGTTTTTGAACTTCTTCTCTGCTTATACAAGCAAATGGGAATGCAAAAACATCTCATAAGCAGGTCAGAAAATGCTCAGAGCTTCTCAATGGTAAGCAGAGTGCAGCTTAAAGCATTTGTATTTGCCAGTTTTCACAACCCCTCTCTCCACTGAATGGTGAATTAACCCGTTACTGACTGCATAACACATATAAGCAGCATCAGACGTGGGCCTTCTTCCGTGGTGCCGCATATATGTGCACCTGTGCTGAAAGATAAAATAGCTAGATCGGGGCCTGATATTGGTTAGTGTCGGGGTCATTGTCAGTATCAGTGTGATTTTAAGTATGATAAAAAAGAAAAATACACACTATTTTTTTTCTGGGCTCTACACTACAGGTACAAACATCAAATAACACATACAGTAGGTGGTGTCACTGGGAGCGACAGGAGTAGGAGAGTTTATTTAGGTTTTTTGTGTGTGTTGGTGGGTCATGGTAATGGCAAGACATATACAGCTAATGGGGTCTATTTAAAAAAAAACAAAAACTTAATTATTATAAATCATCCTTCGAATCTGCATGTATATTAGTTCTGTGCGAGTTAACCAGCAGTTGTGAGAATGGGGAAAAGTCAAATGTTACGCAGCCCTTTACATACTGCACATTCACATCAGTCCCTGCCCTCAAGGAGCTTACAATCCAAGGTCCCTATCTCACATGCATACAGGGCCAATTTAGACAGGGGCCAATGAGAGAGGGGCCAATGAACAGCATGTCTTTGGAGTGTGGGAAGAAACCGGAGTACACGGAGGAAACGCACGCAAGCACAGGGAGAACATGCAGACTCTATGCAGATAGTGTCCTGACCAGGATTTGAACCAGGGACCCCCAGTGCTGCAAGACAACCAACATAAAATGTTACAATTCAAGAGAACGCTGGCAGGCTGGCCCCATTGCTAGCCCTTTAGTACCAATGGATACATTTATATTCTCATTCCTTACAGTGGTTTCTACAGTTCTAATGTGTTTCTTGTTACTTACATGTATTCATTTCCTATGATTCTCTGCTCCATCTGGTGGCTATAGCGTGGTATTTTCCTCATTTGCTCTTTACGAGTTTACCTATTGAAGAACGAGCTATGCATATTCTTTATAAATAGACCCCTATGTAGATGCAAATATATGCACAGTTTTACTAACACATGCCACAGTTGCAAAACCGGGTTCAGACTTTTAGGTTTGTTTTACTTTCTATCATTAAGGGGTTAACCAGGTGCCAAATCTCTTCCACGTTGGGGCTCTTATTGTCATTATTTCTTGGCAGCTGAACTGTCAGTTTGCCATTATTTTGATTGGAAATAGAAGCAAGCGAATGAATGGCATGTTTAATAACTGGGTGTCACAAAATTTGCATTTGGGTTGCATGTTTCTGATTTTTCTATAGTTTTCATGGGACACTGGCATATAAGTGCAATTATATAGAAGCTAATTACATGTTTTTGTTCCCTTTACTTTCGTCCTCTTTATCTTATATTGCTGTCTTTTTTTCTAATTTGTGCCTTTACTTTGACATAGACAGGGGCGGATGGCAAACATGGTTCTCTTTTAGTCATTTTGAATTTCTACATGTTTATAGAAGTATTATTTTCAGAATTTCCATAGTCATATAACACCAGCAAATCATGCAGCAGAGAACCGTACATCCTGATGCCCAACCCCTCCTTTAACAGCCACACAGCCATACACAATAAACACACCAGGGCCAGTCTGGTCAGAACACGGTTATCCTCCCAATATGTTTTATGGGATACTGAAACAGTCGGAGTAAACCAATGCTTACACAGGAAGAGCAAACCAACCTCTTGGTATAGAGCAAAACAAAGACCCCGGTGCTATTGAGCAACTGTGGTAACCACAAATCCATCATATTGCTTTGTTTAGCTGAAGAATATATAATTACTTAGTCCTATCTCCAAGTGTCCTACAATAATTATATTAAAGACCAAGTCCACAGATTTTATTCTATATTTGTGTTTTGTGCTATTTTCTAGACATCCATCAGGTTTCTTTTTGTATTCCTGTTGTCCTAACCTCTTGAATTTGTATAGGTTCATGTTTCCTAAGGGCTTTATTTCCTTCAAGCACCTGCTGGCTGAAGTGCGGTGGTGTCATAGAGACCCCTGTATTCTAATATGCGTGTCTTTTGTTTACCTGTCATTCTTGGATTACTTTTTCATGAAAACAGAAGGCATGCCTGTGTGTTGGGCTGCCTTGTTTAGTGGGCAGATTTAATTTTATCTTTGGGCCATCTGTCACAGAGGTGCCACTTTAATATTTATTAACTTTACTGACCCTTGCTTGCACATTAAAATTGTGTTTAAAAAAGAACTGAGGCTGAATTTTTTTTTTTAGTTTTGGATAGAATAATTAAGGATTATTACCCCTTGTTATGTGTGTCTTCGTGAAATTTCCCTTCACTTCCCGTCTGATAGCCACAACAGGAAGTGAGAGGAAATCCTTCCAAAGTGAGGGAGATCTATGGGGGTCAGTAATGATGCGTGGAGGAAACTGAGTTCGCCTACGTTTGCCCAAGCCCATGCAAACGCACACCCTTCCTGGACCAGTAAGTTGTGGCAGAGCCATTATCTGCCCCTTTGTGACGTGTAGCTGCGGGGCAAGGAATGCCCCTGCCATAACTGATTGACCCGGGGGGGGGGCCGTGTCAGTTACAGTTTTGCATAGGCTTGGGCAGACGCAAGAGAACCGGGTTCACAACAAACCCCCGCTCATCAGCTGAGTCACCAGAACTAGTGTCCCTTTTGGGAGACTTCCCTTCTGTTCCTGTTCTGATGACAAACCAAATTTGAGATTTTCTTTCCCACTCTTTAATGGGACACATACAGCAACAAATACCTGACAGGTCTTCGATTCCCTCTCTACTGTATTAAAAAAAAAAAAAAGTGTTGGCTTCAGTTGCACTTTAAATGGGAACTGACATATGATGCAGTCTGTCAATAGCATTAACACAGCAGTGTTTATTTCCCTGAGGTCCTCTGTTGAAGGGTGACCATGGTGCAACATTGGAAGCTTGTGGTCTTCCTGTTAAAGAAGGCCTTAGAGGGAGCAGAAACTTGCAGGATCAAGTAGTATTTATTAAACATTTATTCACCCCAAGATAAAAAAAACAAACTACTTTACAAGGCAAAAAAAGATTCCATTTACACAAATTTACTATTTGGCTTTACATACACTTGTACACTTACACTGGAGTTACATACATAAAGTAATGTTTTGATCATGTGGTCAGTACTGCTATGGTGTAAAATGATGATACTACAAGTCTGACAAAGTGAACTTTGGCTTTTACAACATATACAGCATATATCTTTGGCTAGCACTTTAGGTTTGTAGCAGTTTTCATATATAGAGAAATACCTACAATTTAATTGCTGTGGAACTTCACATAAATGTGTGTGACCTAATGACCATCTCTGTACATCAGACTATCTGTGTCAATAGCAATGTGCAGTTGCCTCCAATAATTGTAATTGTATTTTGTTTACAAGCTTCTGTTGCAGATGAAGAAAAGGGTATAATTCCTCGTGCCATTCAAGAGCTGTTCCAGATCATCTCTGAAAACCACAACACAGACTTTAATGTTACAGTGTCTTATATAGAAGTTTACAAGGAAGATCTGCGGGACCTCCTGGAACTTGAAACAAATGTAAAAGATATTCACATTAGGGAAGATGAGAAAGGAAACACAGGTATTTATTTTTACTAAACCAAAGTCAGATGCATGATATATGTGTGTGTTTTCTGTGGCCTCGTGACTTCTGTGGAAAAGTTGTAGTGCTAGATGAAAAAATTAGTTCATAAAACACCTTATTCTGTTTAACCAGTTGACATCCGCGGTGTTAAACCCCCTTCCCATCCAGGAATCTCCCAGTAAAAGATCTAAGATAATACTGACTGCAAGGTAGGTCCTAGATCAATTCAGTGTTTCCAAAACTGAGAGTTGCAATATCAAAATTTGTCCTCAGCACCCAATGGTGGTAAGTGTGAGTTTTTGGCATGTCCTATGAGTTATAACACAATGAGACTCTAGAAACCTCTGGAGGAACCCTAGGATTCCACAAAACCCGGGTAGAGAATGGCTGCTGTAGAGTGTTGTTTGCAGAATTAAAGGGGATACCTATAATCAATGAGCCTAAAGATATGCCTATAGTCATTGCTGCCACTAGAGAATTCTGTTTTAAAGCGGATGTCATGCTCCTGAAAAAAACATTGGTGATTGCTAGGCCCTACATGGCAAAAGAGACTGTGTAAGTCTCTTCAGCCATAGAAGCTTCTTTCTAGCTGTCAACAATTTTTATTTCTGCACAGACCTGGCATGCCGAGATGAAGTAACTCCCGTGCACAAGTGCGATAGTTGCGTCATCAAGGCCCTGCCAATCAAGTGAACAAATGCTCGAAACGCCAAAGAAGACTGGGGCAAAAATAAAAGCACCGGTGATGGAGGAGCACAGCGCAGGAGGGGATTGCTTTGGCAGGCAAGTCTACCATAATATGGCAATATGCTGTATACAGTATACTAACACATATACATGGGTAAAAGCTCCACGGTTTTTTTGTATTTCCCTTTGCCTCCGCTTTAAGACTGAATATCTGTACTGCTTTAAACTGAATAAGCAATCTGACGTCTGGGAAAAAAATTTTGAGCACATCAGGATATACTCATAGCCAGCATTGCTGGAAAAAAAATTACTGCCATTTTTGTCTGAGGTTTTTGGGATAAGTAAAAAATTTTAGTGAAGTGTAGTAGAAATGTACTCCTTAAAGGAAATACCTAGAATATTTATTCAGTTTGGAGTTGAGCTTTAATCTTAATAAGAGATATGCACTAAGCCCTCTGGATAATGTTCATAGCAGCAGATTATGAGTCTCTCTGTTGCTTACATAAGAGCTGGAGGATCATAAGCCCCAACTTTGTTACTTCAGTTTAAAGCCAGAAATAGATCTAGGATCTAAACCACCTGGGTAAAGCATCAAAAGGAGGGACCTACATCATTCTTTTGTTTTCCTGGAGCTGTAATTGTGTTGATCAGATGTAGCCTGCTTGACCTCTGCACGATGATATGAGAAAGAGCCTATTTCAGTAATGAAAAAGGTTAAGTGCAACAGCAACAGCAGTCGAATGAGAATCTAGTTTCAAGAACCAAGCCAGATCCTAACAAAGCAAAGAATAATTATACTTTAAAACACCTACAAAATGCAGGTCCAAGTGACATAAGCAGTTATGTCTTACATGAGTAAACAATGAATGAGAAACCATGCAGAAATTCAGAGTTAGGACTTACCGGTAACTCTATTTCCATTAGTCTTCCAGGACAGCATCACGAAATTACTGAGCTAAATCACAAGGCAAGGAAAGGTAGAAATTAAGGCAGCATGACAATAGCAGTGAGGATCCATGAAGTGTATATACAGATGCAGGACTGTTTGAAGTCCTGCATCTGGACGTTTGTGATGGCAAACCTGTCTGAGGTAGTTAGCCAGCTGCTCAATATTTTCTTGTAATGCTTGCATTTTGTATGTATGTGTTTTTAATGGCCTTTATCCAATAAAATAAAGGTTATGTTAAATGAACAACCATACATCTTTTACTTGTGTGTACACTAAACTGCTAAAAGCTGGCCTTCTGTAGATTCCTGGAAGTCTTTTGTTCTGTTTACCTAGTTCATTCAAAAAACGCACTCTAGTCTTTTATATTGATTTTTCACAAGTATGTATATATCCAGCCCTTTCATCTCATTAACATTCTTATATTTTGTCCTTTTCAAGTGATTGTCGGTGCCAAGGAAAGCCAAGTAGAATGTGCAGATGAAGTTATAAGTCTTCTGGAAGCTGGAAGTGCAGCTCGGCACACTAGTGCCACGCAAATGAATGAACATTCCAGTCGTTCCCACACAATCTTTACTATTACCATATGCCAACAATCAGACAAAAACCACAATGCCACTGACGATAGTACGGCAAGGTCAGTTCAGATGATCACATCGAAATTTCATTTTGTGGACTTGGCAGGCTCAGAAAGAGCAACAAAAACTGGGAACACTGGAGAGAGATTTAAAGAGTCAATCCAAATTAACAGTGGTTTGCTTGCCTTGGGTAATGTGATAAGTGCACTGGCTGATCCCAAGAGGAAAAATGCACATGTGCCCTACAGAGATGCTAAGATCACTCGCATTCTTAAAGACTCCTTAGGTGGAAATGCCAAAACAGTCATGATTACATGCATTAGTCCTTCTACATCAGACTTTGATGAGTCTTTAAATTCTCTTAAATATGCCAACCGAGCTAGGAACATAAAGAACAAGCCAATAGTAAATTATAACCCAGACTGGGATAGAATTGATGAAATGGAACTGGAAATTAAAGCACTTAGGGAAGCTTTGCAGAACCGGCAGAGCACTAGGGTAAGTCGAATTAGCCAAGTGTCTCAAGATTGGGGCCAAGAAAAGGACAAGGTTCGAGCTCTGGAAGAGCAGCTTGCACAATTTCAACTGGAGTGTTATAACCACAGACACTGTACAGAGGAAGCTTTATCTTTATTCTATGAATTTAAGGACGTGTCTGGTCTTACAAAATCCCAAACACATCGGCTCGAGAGCTGGTTAGTTATGGCAGAGGAACTAAGAAGCGACACAGCGTCTGTTCCTGGAACTGAAGATGCAGTCACCAGTGGCAGAGAGGAGCCACATCATATCACCATATTGCAGCTCAAAAGGGAGCTCAAGAAATGCCAGGTAAATGGTTTTCCTTTGGTGAAATATTAGGCAGCAGATGTTTGCAAAAAACATTTGCCCAATGCACGTTTGCCAAAATTCACTGCACATTTGCTATACTTCTAATGCAGCAAATGTGCACTCGGGGAATGTGACATTTGGGTGACGTCTCTAATTCTTTTACCTACAGAAGCTGCTTTGAGTGTGGCTGGCATGTGCAGATGGGAGCTCTTCTTTGTGATGAACTGTGTTTTTATACAGTCCCAGCTCTTGCAGGGTCAATGTTAATTTCCTTTTTTTTTAAACAGTTTGCCTATTATAATGAGTCTCCATAGGCAATCATTGCAATTTTGATTACAAAATGCAATTTTTTACTACCTCAGCGTGATGAACATAGAAATTGTGTTAAGTGTGCATTCATGTACTATTGTCCTGTTATGAATGGGGCAAATGTTACAGTAAGCAACTCTTCTTCTTTATGTTGAAAGATTATGGTAAAGTTTTCTTTAACATGGCAAACGTTGCAGGGAATGTGCTTTAGAGTTTGTTCACGCCACGTCTGTTGAGCTGCGTTTTTCTGCACACCACCACACATGTATGCTTTCAACAGGACGCGGACCTGTCCACACCATACATGTGCGGTGGTGTGCAGAAAAACGCAGCTCAACAGACATGGTGTGACGAAGCCCATATAAGAAGTTTACAGAGCCATTGACCACTGTTTTTCTTCTGTGTTATTTTTTTAAAATTCTTTATTTACTGAATCAGTGTCCTATAACATAGTAACAGTGTATACGGTGAGGTTACAGCATACACCGGCACCGCAAAGTAACAAACTGTTGCAAATCAGACATATTCAGCAAGACTTCTAAGATCAAACCAGCAAACGTGTGTCTTATCTAAATATAGTAAAATCGTATTCAGCTATACTCCACATAGTTCCATTTCACAATAAAAGAAAGTTCTGTATCTAAATGTGGGGACAGAAAGTAACCGTGACTTGTGGAGAGAGAAGAGGCCATAGAGAGCACAGATAGAGAAGAAGAGAGGGGAGTGGGTCCGGACGGGGCCTAACGCACCCTTCAAGGGTCCTGTTCGCCGTCCTGGGAGCTCCGGATGGGGAACTGTGCAGAGGTTCTATAGTACAACCATGGTCCCCATGTGGTATTAAATTGGGCTTCGGTTCGTTTCAATGAGGCTGTGAGGTCTTCCAGTAGATAAATATCCTGGACCCTGGAGAGCCACTGCTGGACTGTAGGAGGCTGGGGGTCCCGCCTTTCTTCTGTGTTATTATAAAGAAACTGTGTAATGAAAAGTGAGCCATAAAAGAATTCTAGAAAGAATAGTTAGAATCTAAAATCACACATACATAGTTACATGGTATTTGAGGTTGAATAAAGATACATGTCCATCAAGTTCAACCTCGTGTGTGTGGTGTGCGTGCGTGTATGTGAGTCTCTGTGTGGTCCTAGGTTTTAAGAGTACCTGTAACCCTGTATGTTACTGTCTCTGAGGAAGGTATCTAAATGATTTTTAAAAGAATGAATAGTCTCTGCAGATACCACTTCTTGTGGCAGAGAGTTCCAAAATGTAACCACTCTGACTGAGAAGAAGCCCCTACGCCCTTTGTGGCTAAATCTTTTCTCCACCAATTTTAGATGGTGGCCTCTAGTCTTTGTTACGGAGTTTACTGTAAAAAGTTTAGTGCCGATGTTGCCATCACCACTATGTAACATAACACAAGTTCAAATTAAACCTATCATGTATATAATGCACATATATGAGTTGTATAATACTTCCCATGTTTATATTACAAATTACAGAATTGACTTATATTGGATCAGACTTTCAAAGGTGTTCAGTATTAGACATTTTTGCATTAAAGCGCACCTAAAGCCAAAACCAGAAATGTAATATATTGCAGCTTACCTGTCCTTAGATGTGATCCTGTATTAGTGGGGTTTTTCAGACTTTTTTCCCCTTTTTATGTTTACCTGGCGACACTGCCAGTACCACACTTCCGGCTCTAGGGAGGCAACGCTTTCTAACTTTACAGTATCTAGAGGAGCAGTGATGTCACTGTAGAACAGGACTTTAAACATCTTTCTCTTCTCATAATATAGGGAGAAGGTGTTCTGTAGTACTCAGAACACTATAACTGATAAGAGTGCAGCACAGTCAGAGAGCACAGGAAGTTATAAGCTAACAAGCTTTCTCATCAACAGGTATTTTTTTTGTACATATTATTATACAGGATTTATATAGCGCCAACAGTTTGAGCAGCGCTTTACATTACAAGGAAGACATTACAATCACAATACAATTCAAGACAAGATGGTAAGGAGGGCCCTGACCGTGAGAGCTTACAATCTAAAAGGGAGGGGGAAGTGATACATGAGGAGGTAGCTGAGTGGGGATGAATTGTTTGAGAACGTGATGGTTGAGTGGTTAGGTTGAGGTGGGATAGGCTTCCCTGAAGAGATGGTCAATCTTATCAAGCAGATATTACTAAATACTTTCATGGTTTACAGATATTTTGGTATATTTTACAAACCGAAAAAGACCAAATAAGAGTAAATTATTGTTCGGTTTTATATGCCTTTTAACAAAAAATTTCAAACCTGACCTAGCTTTTTGCCTTTTATTGTGTATCCATATCTACCCTGGAGCTGCCTGCGTTATGATATAATATCATACGGTATTATGTACGCTTAATTTCCTTGCAATTTGTAAGCATTGGCAGATGTTTTTAGCCACTCAAGTATAATCTTAAGAAAGCCATATTATTATCTGCATTAGTGGTTTCTAAGCAACTGCTTCAAGTCTTATGTTCTGTTTTCTGAAGCTGCATTGTCCCCAGTAAATACAAGGCTGTCCCTAGTCAGGAGGTACCCAGCTGAATATTTGCTACATTGTGGCTAGAGCAAACCATGAATGTAGCTGTAAAGTAATATTTTAGGTGCTTGGAGACTTTTTGCTATTTTCTGCTCAGCAAAATGATGACACAAGTAAACTAGCCATCATTGCAAAGTTTACATAATTTGACACACTAGAACAATTTTAATTCTGGATAAGTGTGTACTATATATACACCATAAAGAACTTTTTTTTTAAGGATAGCGTTGTAGGATACAGTTTTGTCTTTATAAATGTAGATGACAATATGGATTTCTTATGTTGTTTCATTTAACTGTTTTAAGGATGCTCTTGCAACAGACGAAGAGGTATTTGCGAGACAGACGCTGGAGCTGAAGGAGTTGCAGGAGAAAGTTGAGGCCTTACAGAAAGAAACACAAGATTATGAGAAATCTTTAGAGGAAACGGAACACAGCAAGAATCTACAGGTATAGCTTGTGTGTTTTGGCAGTCTTGGTAGTTGCAGTTATATTACATAATGTAGACCAAAAATACAGACATACCTTAAAGTGTATCCATACCCAAACCTTTTCGTTTTGGATAGAGTGGGGAAGGATTAGAACTCCAGTCAGGTTTTACTGATGTCTGTGGCTCTGTTGTAGAGATTGCCTCTCGCTCACTGTCCCTGAGACAACCTTTTACCCCAAACAGGAAATTAAGGAAACTCTCTAACTCAGACAGAAGTACGTTTAGTAGGGGAATGCTAGAACCCATGTCAGTTTTTTATTGTCTGTTTCCCGTTTGTAGATTTTCTTTCACTTCTTGTCCGGGAAAAAGGAAAAATCTCTCTAAGGTAGCCTTGGATAGCAGTAAAGCCTGACAGGAGTTCTTAGTCTTCTCCACTCTATCCAAAATGTAAAGTAGTATTAACATTTTCAATAATGAATCCATATAAAAAAAATATATACATAGCCCAGCAAGGCATTCTTTTTTTACATTTTTACCCATGCACTTAGTCACCATGTTTCCAAACCACTCCAACTGTCTCAGCTCAGCTTCCCTGAACTTCCTGTCCTGTACAAGATCACAGAGGGCATAGTGGAGAACAGTGAGCAGACTAGTAGCTTGTCTTGCTGTGTGTTTGTGGAGACACACAGCTTACTAGTACACACAAGAGTGGCTTCTTAGAACTCTGCAAGGGAAAGGAGCCACCCTAAATCAGGATATCACGGCCAGTGCTCATTAGACCAGCTGATTCTGCAGGAAACAAACTTTTAAACATCAAGAATCAGCATCCATTGTAATTGATTTAATCAGCATTTGGAAGAGCTTAAAAACCTTTTGACTTTAATAGGACTTTAAAGTAGCATTAAAGTCTCTTTTTTTTGGTATATGTCTACTGCTAGCAAGCAGTAGATATACGACCCATGATTTAAAAAACAAAAAGTAGGCAAATACCTAATTATTACCTGTTCAAGTGCTGCTCGCTCCCGACTGTGTG